GGATAGGTCGTGATTTTGGGTTTAACTGCAAAATACACAAACATATTATTAAAAAATATTGGTACTGATATATTAACGCTACCTTGGTTACAGATTTGGCGGTTTTTAAGTGGCGCCAATCTAACAGCTACAGATTTGGCGGTTTTTAAGTGCCGCCAATCTAACAGCTACATATTTGCTGATTTTTGATGGCATTTTTTAGTGCTACGAAAATGCGTATTTGGGATTTGCCAGAAACAGAATAAGATGCAATTTTATTTTTTCAGGAGCGAAATATTTTACCAAAAAAACGAAAATGTCCCAATTTCCATGACATGAAACTTTATTTTGGTGAACGTAAGTTTTGGAAATGCAATTTCAGTCAGTGTGCTTATCATGTGGGACTTAGAAAAGACAACTGGTTTGAGGGAAGCAGAGTTTTAAAAACCGCCAAATCTGTAGTTGCGGTTGGCGTTCAAAAGATAACTGCGTGCGCGTGCGAACAACAAGATTGCTCTTTATTGGCGCAACTGTAGCCAAGGTAGCGTTAATACGTAAGTGCCAAAATATTATCTCTGACAGAAAACAGTTTACTAAATCTAATTCATTGGACGAGCAAAATGTTTTTGCACAAGAAACGGTTCCAATTTATGGAAGTTTATGTTTTAATAAGTAATTCAAATAAACAGGACGAACAAAACATTGCAAAATAAGTATTATTCACCTCGGACCTGCACAACAAGAATAAATATCTTCATAACAATTCACGCATATGAGCAAGGCCGGATTTAGATGAAAAGAGGCCCCGGGCTATTCCACTCATGAGGCCCTTTCACCTCCCATTTGTACATTTGTCAATTACATCACAGAGAATAAAATACATCATTACTGTGATATATATCAATATGTTAAATGAAACATGTTGTGATGGGTACTAATCTTTATGCCAACGGCCGTACCATGCTGAATATACCGGTTCTCGTTAGATCACCGAAGTCAAGCATCATTGGGCGCGGTCAGTACTTGGGTGGGTGACCACCTGGGAACACCGCGTGCCCGTTGGCAAATTTGGGACCTGAATGGCCGAGTGTCTGGCGCTCTGGCGCTCGGTGCCACAGGTTTCGGGTTCGAATCCCGGCGTTGCCATGGATGCTTGTAGTGGTTCGGAATCCACTTTAAGCCGTAGGTCCCGGTCTTCTACGACTGTAAGAGCGTCACGGAGCAAAAGTCAGGCTTCTACCTACGGGTGCTCCATCACAACAGAAGCTGCTTCCTTCCCCCTTCAATCATGAGTACGTATGGGCTCGTGGGCTTGACCAGCCAAGTGGGATAAGAAACAACAGTACTGTATAGGGTGCTGAGAAATAAATGTCCAAATAAGTGTTCTCGACTTTTTTTTTATTTATTATATATGACACATTTTTTTATAAAGATTAGTGTTGTTGTTGTTGTTGTTTCTTATCCCACTTGGCTGGCCAAGCCCACGAGCCCATATGGACTCATGATTGAAGGGGAAGGAAGCAGCTTCTGTTGTGATGGAGCACCCGTAGGTAGAAGCCTGACTTTTGCTCCGTGACGCTCTTACAGTCGTAGAAGACCGGGACCTACGGCTTAAAGTGGATTCCGAACCACTACAAGCATCCATGGCAACGCCGGGATTCGAACCCGAAACCTGTGGCACCGAGCGCCAGAGCGCCAGACACTCGGCCATTCAGGTCCCAAATTTGCCAACGGGCACGCGGTGTTCCCAGGTGGTCACCCACCCAAGTACTGACCGCGCCCAATGATGCTTGACTTCGGTGATCTAACGAGAACCGGTATATTCAGCATGGTACGGCCGTTGGCATAAAGATTAGTACCCATCACAACATGTTTCATTTAACATATTGATATATATCACAGTAATGATGTATTTTATTCTCTGTGATGTAATTGACAAATGTACAAATGGGAGGTGAAAGGGCCTCATGAGTGGAATAGCCCGGGGCCTCTTTTCATCTAAATCCGGCCTTGCTCATATGCGTGAATTGTTATGAAGATATTTATTCTTGTTGTGCAGGTCCGAGGTGAATAATACTTATTTTGCAATGTTTTGTTCGTCCTGTTTATTTGAATTACTTATTAAAACATAAACTTCCATAAATTGGAACCGTTTCTTGTGCAAAAACATTTTGCTCGTCCAATGAATTAGATTTAGTAAACTGTTTTCTGTCAGAGATAATATTTTGGCACTTACGTATTAACGCTACCTTGGCTACAGTTGCGCCAATAAAGAGCAATCTTGTTGTTCGCACGCGCACGCAGTTATCTTTTGAACGCCAACCGCAACTACAGATTTGGCGGTTTTTAAAACTCTGCTTCCCTCAAACCAGTTGTCTTTTCTAAGTCCCACATGATAAGCACACTGACTGAAATTGCATTTCCAAAACTTACGTTCACCAAAATAAAGTTTCATGTCATGGAAATTGGGACATTTTCGTTTTTTTGGTAAAATATTTCGCTCCTGAAAAAATAAAATTGCATCTTATTCTGTTTCTGGCAAATCCCAAATACGCATTTTCGTAGCACTAAAAAATGCCATCAAAAATCAGCAAATATGTAGCTGTTAGATTGGCGGCACTTAAAAACCGCCAAATCTGTAGCTGTTAGATTGGCGCCACTTAAAAACCGCCAAATCTGTAACCAAGGTAGCGTTAATATATCAGTACCAATATTTTTTAATAATATGTTTGTGTATTTTGCAGTTAAACCCAAAATCACGACCTATCCCGGTTTGGTGATCTCCAGGAAGAAGAGCGATGCGGACGTCAAAATTTCTCTGGACGCCACAAGGCCCTTTGAAACTCGGCTTCTCAAAGATCTGAAGAAGGTCAGACAAGACGATCGCCTCAATATAGAAATCTTGAAGGATGGCATTGTTGTACATATTTCAAACGTTCGCGATACAGATGCTGGCACATACCTCGTTATTGTAACTAACCAATATGGGTCTGATGATGCTGTATTTGATTTTCATGTAATAGGTTAGTAGGTCATTTTATTTCCAGTTTTTAATTTGATTGTGATGTAGTTTTTTTTTTGTTCTAATGCAGCATCATCAGACCCATATTGGTTAGTTACAATAACGAGGTATGTGCCAGCATCTGTATCGCGAACGTTTGAAATATGTACAACAATGCCATCCTTCAAGATTTCTATATTGAGGCGATCGTCTTGTCTGACCTTCTTCAGATCTTTGAGAAGCCGAGTTTCAAAGGGCCTTGTGGCGTCCAGAGAAATTTTGACGTCCGCATCGCTCTTCTTCCTGGAGATCACCAAACCGGGATAGGTCGTGATTTTGGGTTTAACTGCAAAATACACAAACATATTATTAAAAAATATTGGTACTGATATATTAACGCTACCTTGGTTACAGATTTGGCGGTTTTTAAGTGGCGCCAATCTAACAGCTACAGATTTGGCGGTTTTTAAGTGCCGCCAATCTAACAGCTACATATTTGCTGATTTTTGATGCCATTTTTTAGTGCTACGAAAATGCGTATTTGGGATTTGCCAGAAACAGAATAAGATGCAATTTTATTTTTTCAGGAGCGAAATATTTTACCAAAAAAACGAAAATGTCCCAATTTCCATGACATGAAACTTTATTTTGGTGAACGTAAGTTTTGGAAATGCAATTTCAGTCAGTGTGCTTATCATGTGGGACTTAGAAAAGACAACTGGTTTGAGGGAAGCAGAGTTTTAAAAACCGCCAAATCTGTAGTTGCGGTTGGCGTTCAAAAGATAACTGCGTGCGCGTGCGAACAACAAGATTGCTCTTTATTGGCGCAACTGTAGCCAAGGTAGCGTTAATACGTAAGTGCCAAAATATTATCTCTGACAGAAAACAGTTTACTAAATCTAATTCATTGGACGAGCAAAATGTTTTTGCACAAGAAACGGTTCCAATTTATGGAAGTTTATGTTTTAATAAGTAATTCAAATAAACAGGACGAACAAAACATTGCAAAATAAGTATTATTCACCTCGGACCTGCACAACAAGAATAAATATCTTCATAACAATTCACGCATATGAGCAAGGCCGGATTTAGATGAAAAGAGGCCCCGGGCTATTCCACTCATGAGGCCCTTTCACCTCCCATTTGTACATTTGTCAATTACATCACAGAGAATAAAATACATCATTACTGTGATATATATCAATATGTTAAATGAAACATGTTGTGATGGGTACTAATCTTTATGCCAACGGCCGTACCATGCTGAATATACCGGTTCTCGTTAGATCACCGAAGTCAAGCATCATTGGGCGCGGTCAGTACTTGGGTGGGTGACCACCTGGGAACACCGCGTGCCCGTTGGCAAATTTGGGACCTGAATGGCCGAGTGTCTGGCGCTCTGGCGCTCGGTGCCACAGGTTTCGGGTTCGAATCCCGGCGTTGCCATGGATGCTTGTAGTGGTTCGGAATCCACTTTAAGCCGTAGGTCCCGGTCTTCTACGACTGTAAGAGCGTCACGGAGCAAAAGTCAGGCTTCTACCTACGGGTGCTCCATCACAACAGAAGCTGCTTCCTTCCCCTTCAATCATGAGTACGTATGGGCTCGTGGGCTTGACCAGCCAAGTGGGATAAGAAACAACAGTACTGTATAGGGTGCTGAGAAATAAATGTCCAAATAAGTGTTCTCGACTTTTTTTTTATTTATTATATATGACACATTTTTTTATAAAGATTAGTGTTGTTGTTGTTGTTGTTTCTTATCCCACTTGGCTGGCCAAGCCCACGAGCCCATATGGACTCATGATTGAAGGGGAAGGAAGCAGCTTCTGTTGTGATGGAGCACCCGTAGGTAGAAGCCTGACTTTTGCTCCGTGACGCTCTTACAGTCATAGAAGACCGGGACCTACGGCTTAAAGTGGATTCCGAACCACTACAAACATCCATGGTACCGCCGGGATTCGAACCCGAAACCTGTGGCACCGAGCGCCAGACACTCGGCCATTCAGGTCCCAAATTTGCCAACGGCACGCAGTGTTCCCAGGTGGTCACCCACCCAAGTACTGACCGCGCCCAATGATGCTTGACTTCGGTGATCTAACGAGAACCGGTATATTCAGCATGGTACAGCTAGAGTACTAGTAACAATAACTCATCAAACATAACACACAACATTTACAAAGAAACAAAAATCAAATAATACAAATCTTTTCCCACGAAAATAAAATATGCAATAAAAATTATCCTATTTTCTATGAAATTAAATTAAATCTATCCAATACATTGGAGATTAAAGCAAATTCAATTCAGATAAATTTATTTCATAATTTCTCCTTATTTTCGATTCAGTGTTTTAATGTTTACTGTTTTTAGAATAATGTAATTCTAATTTTTCTAACAATTTGAATGCAGGCCCCTCTTGATCTTGAGGCCCTAGGCTGAAGCCTGTAGGAAAATCCGGCCCTGCATGTGAGAGTGTTTTAGAAGAACGTCTTATGTATCGTTCATTTGTGAACGGATCCCACAAAGCATCATCTAGTGGAAGAAAGAATGACCTAGTGTTCCCAGTAACATGGCCACTAAGTTAGAGCGTTCTTGCAACACATAGGGTAAGTACAATAGTCCGGCACGTTCCCGAACGTGCCGGATTATCGTGCATTACATAACAGGGGTGACTTACACCCACCCACATACGCACTCTTTGATATCAAAAACTAAATACTTCTAAAATTAATTGCCTCTCTCATATATTTAACAAACTTATTTTGCTTTCAAAAATTTTCCTTAATTATTGAAATGTACTTAGTAGATGGATTGCAATATTAAATTTAGGTACTTACGTATTAACGCCACCGCAGCAGAAGTTGCGCCAATAAAGAGCTGCCAACGCGCCAAAATAGAGACTGTTTTGAATCTATGTTAAACTCTATATCGGCCCATTTTCCACCGAAATCCGATTGGCTACTTTGTTTTTAAATAAAGTGTTTTGAATTTTGAAAGTGTTTCCATTTTAAATAAAGTGTTTTATATATTTTATGATTTGTCGCAAAACTTTTAAGTGTAGATTGGCGCCACTTAAAAACCGCCAAATCTGTAGCTGCGGTGGCGTTAATACGTAAATACCTAAATTCATTATCTCTTAATTGTTTAATTTAACTGAATAAATCATTCAACTAATTCAATCCAGTAATTTTTTATTAATAAGAAACTCATAATTCCTATTTTTAATTGCTCATGGCCCTTAGTATGTAAAAAATTATTTCATTCAAACAAGATTCATCACACTCCAAACAACGTTTTGCGTTTACATCAATCTTCCATCACATTCACTTTATCATGATTAAAAGGAATGTTATAAATTTCATACTCTTAATCTAATTTCTCATCTCAATTCTTACTCTCTCTCTTTTTTGCTGCAACATCTGAATCACTATAGATTATTTTTTACTTATAATGTTACAAATTTTGATATTTAGTATATTCATCTTTCTATACTATATAATTCTTCTGTACGTATGTTAGACTACTTGAACTATTCAATTTAACGGCTTGACCGATTTTGATGACATTTTGCGTGTGTTGTTTGAGTGGATCCCTGGATGGTTTAGATTCACAAATGGACCCGATAGGTGGCGCTGCAATCGGGTTCTTCTGTATGTGTCACTGAACTTCTCCTAAACGGCTGGACCGATTTCGATGAAATTTTTATGTTATCCCCTTTGTTGTAAGTTGCCACCAGAGGGTGCTGCAGTCTATCAATTTCTATACCGTCCCACTAAATGTTATGAAAATTGGTAACAATATATATTTGAGTATAGAAAAAAAGATCGCGCCATCCACTTTAGTGTGACTTGCCACCAGAGGGTGCTGTAGCCTTTCATCTTATAGACCGTTCAAACGATATCCATGCAAATGAGTATGCACTTATATTGGAACAAGGAAAATTTATTCGCGATATGTAATTTTCTACAATGCAGTTTCACAATATTTTTTCTCTTTTGGCAGGACAACGTAAGCCAGATTCTACTAATTAAATGAGATTTTTTTTCCCAGTGCCTTCCATAAGCCTCCATACCTTTTGTTTCCACACAAAAACATTACAAAATTAATAATAATAAAACTTACTTCCAATTCTCAAAGTAAAATATGCTTCCAATTGCCAACTGTTATTCTTTAAAATTACTTTGTACGTGCCTTCGTCACTCTCACAAATCCCGTCGAACTTCAGGACAACGTGGTTGCGAAAAACGGCGCCCGTTATGCGATCGTCTTCCCCTTCATCATCATCATCATCATCTTGCACTTCATCATCATCATCATCTGGCACTTCATCATAATCTTCCACTTCATCATCACCTTCCAGGTCCTCCTCCTTCACGAATTTGACGGCGGAAAACGGCTCGCAATCATAGTGCAATATCGTGATAATTTTGCATATATCCTCCTGAAGAACCAGTTCCTTCGGAAAATGGAACTCGCACTTATCTGAAATAAACATATTTTCACTCAAAAATTTTAGAATTCTCACACAACTATTCTCCAATGCACATTATTAACTAATAATATTAATAACTTCACATAGATTAATAGCTGTTTTGTAATAGTCAATTTTAATGCTTTTAACGGAGCCTGAATGGCCGAGTGTCTAGCGCTCTGTGCCACAGGCTTTGGATTCGAGTTCCGGCGGTGCCATGGATGTTTGTAGTGGTTCGGAATCCACTTTACACCGTAGGTCTCGGCCTCATAGGATCGTAGGGCGTTTATACTCGCGTCCGTAGCATATCTTCAAGCTGCACGTGCCCCCTGGGTAGTGCTAAATGGGCAACAGTGTTCGTCTTTGCAGCCCAAGCGAAGTGCCTTCTTCAAGGCTACCTCGTATTGTACTATCTCCAATGCACATTATTAACATACAGCTTTACATAGACTAATAGCTGTTTTGTAACACTCAATTTTAATGCTTTTAACATTTAAATATGGATCGATGGATGTGGCATAGATGCCTGTAGCGGTGCCATGGATGTCTGCATTGGTTCGGAATCCACTTTAAACGGTAGATCCTTGTCTAATAGGATCGTACAGAGTTGCGGGCGTAGTGTGACTTGCGTCCGAAGCATATCTTCAAGCTATACGTAGATTGATGGTGCTTATAGGTCATAGTTTAGAGATCCATGATCTAAGTCAAAATTATATTTTCATGAACTAATTTAATGTAAAGTGTTTTTCTGTTAAGTTCAATCAGCCCATTTTGTTTTTATTCCAATAAAGTGAGGGTGATTTTGAGATTTTACTTCTTCTTAGTAGTACTTGATTTAATTCCACTTTCTTGCAATTGGCTGCTCTAGTAAATGCTAAATGAACCATCTTTTAATTGGTTTTAACATTTATCACCTTCCTCTAATTTTTAAAGTGGTGTTCGGTGTCTTATTATTTTAATTTTTTTTTTTTTAAATCTTGTCATAGACATCAATTATGTTAAAGTATGCACATTGGCATTTAGGTTCTTGTATTACACATGAATAAATGATTAGCCTGAAGAAAATAACTTTATTATTGATTTACAACATTTAAAAAGAAAACTTAACTAACACTTAAAAAAAAAAAAAAATAGAATAACCACACTAAAAAGTTTAAGTTACAGTACAGTTATTATGTTTAAAATTGCTTGCAAAAAAACAGAAAATTAAATATTAAAATCAGATTTCACAGATCAAGTGACAGGTATTTTATCTTGGAAAATGCTTTTGTATAACATTTTGTGTACACATATGATTAGCACTTTTTTTTGCATAAATAAAAGACATTTGTTTATACAAATTTATTGAAAGTATGTTCCATCTGAAACTAAATCTTTCAACAGAGCATGATCCTAGTATATTTCTACAAAATGAATGTTTCCATACCACTTTCTTTTGCAATAAAATACTATAATAAAGTTCCCTTCAAATGATGTTTATATGGAAAAAAAAATTCGACACTTCCAATCGAGTAAAAGTACGACTTTTTTACTCTTATAACAAATTTCATATACTAACAATGAAAGCTTATTGTCACACCTACAAAATACAAGTGGTGCCTTATTTAACATATACTACTGTGCTCAAAAAGTAAGACCAATTATTTATTTTTTTCAAAAACTTTTATTTATTTCTTCCAAATTTATTTCATCGCCTTCAAAATAATCCCCTCCGGACACAATGCACTTATGCCAACTTTTTTTCCAATCCTCAATGCATCCTAAAAAGTCATCGGCAGAGATGGTCTTCAAAGCGAGCGGCGATACACGTTGAATCTCTTCAATCGATTCAAAACGGTGTCCAAGTAGTGGTCTTTAAAATTTAGGGAATAGCCAGAAGTCGCACGGTATGAATACGGTGGTTGTGGAACAATATGTGTTTCATTTTTGGCGAAAAAGTCGCGAAGAATCAATGCAATGTGAGTTGGCGCATTCAGTGTTTTCTGTGGCAATCGAGATTTGACGCGTTTGAGGCCCAAAATGGAATGGAGCGATCTTTTTGAAATTCCAACATCGTTTCTAATTGTAAATCGGCGGTTTGCAAGGACCGAATCTCTAATTTTTTAGACGTGAGCTTCGTCGGTTGAGGTGGAGGATCGACCAGAGGGCTCTTCGTCTTCAACGCGTTCTCTGCCTTCTTTGAACTGTTTATACCACTTGTAAACACTTCTTTCCGATATGGGAATGCTCACCGAATGCCTTCTGCGACATTCTATACGTTTCCGCAAACAAAATTGAACGCAAATTCTTTGCTCAATGAATTCAGACACCTCAAAAATCACCGGAATCAGTTTTAGCGTCTCACAAAGCCAAAAAGCCAATAATAACTCAAACACAAATGAATATTTTGACATCAAATTTCACACAGATGTCAAGGACAGTGCCAGCAACCTAAACGAGAGGGGAAAAAAAAAAATTTCCATAAGCCCCGGAAATTTTAAATTGAAAATTAGTCTTACTTTTTGGGCACAGTACTATATCAAATTAAAAGCTTTAATTAAATGAAAACAGATAATAATATGACATACTCACCTATTACATTCAAAACAAACGTAGCATCACTATACCCAAATTTGTTAAATATAAAAATGCTGTATGTTCCCGCATCTGTTTTGCA